AATTTTACAGGGAACAACTTTCAGCAACGGGTGCAGTTGCATAGAGGAGCAGACTGAGATTGCATGGGACCTTCTGTAAGACTCTTCAGCTTACTGACCCACAGAAAAGTAACTCAGCCAAAACCAAGAACAGCAGCAGCAATTGGACTATTTTCTTCCAAATCTGTGACTTGATTCAGCCCTGGGAAAGACCTGTCAGGTGGCCAAGTTGGCTGCCAGGGCCAGAGGAGAGATACATGGAAGGGGATAGCAGGACAGAGAGCCCTCTGCCTTTGGTGGCACCGGCTCAGCTCCTCACAAGCCAGTCCTTGCCTGCTGGGCCAGGAAATGTACTCGGTCCCTACTGATCTGGCCACAGGATGTGACCATTCATCAGCCAGCGTATTCCATCTCAGACTATCGTAACTCATCAAAGAGGGGCAAATCCATGGTAAAATCACAGATATCTTTTCCTTGTTGCTTCTGCCACATGTCCTTTCTTTTGACTGGCTCCTTGCTCTGGGAAGAGACTTTGTTTATATCCCTGGCAGATGTGTCATTCTTAACACACAATCCAGCATCCTGCAGACAATGACCAGCACATGGCCCTTCTGTCACCCCACAAGTGCATCATCTTCTGGGTTTGGCCAAAGGAAACAGTGGCTTCATTATGTGGAAATATCGTGACAATGGTTTTGCGGTATTCTGCGCTCCTTTGTCCTCTTCAGTTGAGTAGTTGTGGAGCATGATAAGGTATAATAAGCAAATTAGCTTTTAGAGTGCTGTTTTTAAGGAGGTGTTTTGTTACTTCTGGTTCTTTCAGTTGACCTAGTAAGTCATGCTTCAGCTCTCTACAAACCCTGCCTGTCTTACATACAGTATTTTAATGTAGTCCTTTTCAATCTGAAATCACTCTGTGAGTTTATACCTTGGTTGCAGCCTCACTTCTTTCTACTCTCTATGATTATTTAGGACATTGAGTAAACAAAAGTTAAAAACAATACCAAGAGAAAGATTTTCTATATGACATTCCTCCTGCTCAGTAAAATGTGTTTTGTTGGGTTTTTTTAAACAAGGTAGACTGTGTACCAAAAAACATTGTATCTGTGGTGATAACGCATTTTGATGTGCAGTATATACAAGAGGGAAACAACACAAGCTTGCTGATAGTGCCCTGTTGGTAGCCGGTTAGTCTTTCTTTGCTCAGATACCTCATGAAGTCATGCATGGTGATCAAGGAGATCCTGGGAAACAATTCAAATACTTATTTATTCCTTTAATGTCTTTAAATACTCAATAGCTCTTCAGTGTAGCCATATTTTTGATACTTAAACTTGGGCCTCTGCAAGAGCAAGGCACAATGCTCAGAGAAAGACACTTTGGAAAGGCTCCACGGTCCAACACAGCATACATCAGGGCAGGCAGGAGAATGCCGTGAGTCCTGCCTCTGGCTCTCACTCTAGAAAACACTTGTGATTAATATTATTGTCATACACACCTGTTGACATTGCAGTAGTGCCCAACACTGCTGCCATCCTAAACAGCCATGTCGTGGTAGGCACGATGCTAACAGAAAAGACACAGTCTGTGCCAGGACGGTTTCACAGCACAATCGGGCTATGCCAGAAGAGGAAGGCAGTGGTCATCTGTGGTACTTCCCACTGGATCTCCCTAATGCTGAGGGGCTGCGTGCCCAGCACAGGCTGGGCAGCCCCCACCCCACCCATCCCACACCCACTCCTGCAACCTCCAGACTGCAAGAGACACTCTCTGTGTATGAATGCTTAATTTAGCCTCGATTCAGGAAATCAACACCCATCCAAAGTCTATTTACTGCTGTGATTTCCACGCTTGACTGAACACTAATCACAGTTAAAAAAAAACCCAAACACACCACCAAACACAAAAAACCAAAATCAGAAACAGAAGAACTCTGCCAAGCTGATATTTGTCCGTCTCTGCTATTCCTTCCGTATCTGCTCTTGAAAATAAAATGCTATGTCTACAGTACTTTCTTTTTTCATGTACCCGCACCAAACGGTCAGTTTGGCTTCCAGATAACCAGCAGTTACCTCATTGCAAGGCCAAAGTCTAAGATTCAGTCTGGAGCTGCCATGAAGCTTTATTAAATCCAAAATAAAGGGTGTTCAGTGTAAAGTTGGACAGTCTGGAAAGTCCTTGAGAAATAAGGCCTGGGGTTGTGTTAGGTATCTTCTGTACATCAGTGAAACTGCTTTTACTTTTTTTCTTTTCTGTAGTTAATTACGAATTTGAGGGATGATAAAACAGTGAGTACAACAGAGAGTGGGAGAAATAATTTGAACTGTGGACATAAACATGAAGTTCTTAATAAAGACACAATGAAGATAAGACTGTAAAACTTACTTATCTGTGGAAATATTTACCCTCCTTTCTTGGGCAAAATCTTACTACAATCAGCAGGAGTAATCGCTGCTTTTCCATTCTCCCTGCTCCTCATTCAGCACCTGGGGCTGAGGCAAGGAGAAAGCACACGAATGGGAACAAGACCACGTTGAGACACTAAGTGCCTTTGCAGTTGGCTTGGACGAGAACTTGGACTGAGCAGGAAAGAGCGGGTGAAGAGCCAGTGGGGCCATCCTAAATGTTGCTACCTGGGAGCTAGTGGCCGGAATCAAACCATCACCAAGTCCTGCTCTAGGCGATGAGCATAACTGATAATGATAATTGATTATTCACTTGGCCCATCACTCTTCAACACTTCTACTAAGATGCAGTTTTGCAGAGGCACTTGATGCCAGCAACATTGCAAATGCATGCAATGTCTGAAGCGAAACAGAAGCCCTGTAAAGAAATGCCCTCTTTAAACCACAGAAACAAACCCTGGGTTTCCTTAAGGGTCATCTTGGCTACAGCACATACC